ACGTGTATATACGTATGTATATATACATACATACATATATACATATACATATATACGTATGTCCTGTTGAAAGACTTATATACATAAGCATTTAACATCTCTCACAAAGTACCTACACAGTTAGGGTGTCTTCGGGCCAAAGTAGTAAACCAAACTAACGCGTTGCGTTGATATAAAATGAAAATTATTATATTTTAAATTTTATAATGAGATTAAAAATATTATTTCTATGGTGAAAAATTTTGTGTTACATCTGATATATTTATAATCTTATAAATATGTTTAATGTCTCTCAAGCATTATTAAGTTGATTTATCATTACTTTAAGCTTATTGCTAACAAATTAAAAGCCATTTTTTCATTTAACTAATCTTACTTAAGAATATATAACATTTAACGATCTGAGAATAGAAATCTCGAGACATTGTGAAATAATGGATACTGTATTAGTTACTGTATCTCACATCGACTAATGTTCTCTTAGCGTTAATTTGCAAATCAAAAGAAAAGCGGAACGCACCTACTAATTATACAATCGATGTAGTATTTTAATCTTACTACAGCGCGATCGTCATAGTGTCTAGTCTGTAAACGATTAATGTTAATTTATCGATCTACTTGCTTTATCTTACGCGCGATATATGATATATTTTATATATTATTTTTTATATACATTTTAATAATTAAATAAATAATTTTTTATAGATTCTATGAAGTATAGGCAATAATTGTTACCATCAATTTACAAAAATTGCTACCTATAGAGTTTGCATGTATAATATGTTCAATTTTATATAAATTATATTATTTGCAAGAAATTATCGACAATATTGCTTTTGCAGATAGAATATCTACAATCATATCGATATTTTCATGACACCAATAAATCTAAATAAGTCTTTGAATGTTTCTCTGAGAGAGATGTGCTGTAAAAATTAGCTTCATTAACACAAACAAATACGAAATGCTAGTACAATATGTAATGATATAAATACATTGCATATTGTAAAATCGATATTTCTGTTTGATATATTGCGCACAACTGTTTTTAATATACATTTTATTAATTAAAATTTTGTGAAAATTTCACTTATTTAGATGATTGAGTAATAATTGAGTTTGTGTTTAAATAGAATTTTCTGAGATATTTTTAACATATTTTAATAATTGTCACAAGCAGACATTTAAACAAATAAAGTAAATATTTAAAATGAAGATAAAGTTTGTGACTAAATTTATTGTTAAATCGTGACACGACGTGTTTCGTCGTTTAAGGAAAAATAAAGTTCATAGCGGACAAAGTCATCAATGTTATATAAAAGTTATAAACGGAGAATAATTGTTACATATATATGTAAAAAATACAAAACGGCGTGTAACAGCAATACATATGTTGATGAAAAATACATACTCTTCCAATTTTGTATTAATGCTTACGTGCATTAAATATACCAGCCTACTTGCACAAAAAAAAAGTACGGGTGCACACATTTATATAATTTTCATACATTCTTGATCAGATTTTTTGAACTTTTATATTTTCATGTTATAAAATTATTTTCTGACATTTTATTTATACAACTTTTACACGTTATCGGCCGTTTAATGGAGAAGATAAATACTAGAGATAAGTAAATGTAAATGTAAAACTGTATTGTGTATACAAGAAAAAAATATCGATGCATGCAGAAGTAAAGAGTTTTCAACCTGCGACGATAATTGTACAGTTTAAAAGTGTATTTTGTGTATTGTGAAATTAAAACAATTGTACTCTCTGAATAGACTTCCATTCTGCATCCAATATGTGCAGCTTTCCGTGAATAAAGATATTCATACACTCCCAAATCTTTCAGTACATGTATGTATGCATCAGTTTATTGTTCCCAAAACGGCATTAGAATTTATCTCATTTCCTTCACTTTCCAATAATTCTCTTATAAATCAAGACATACATGGAATGAAAAACGATATCGAAAACCCGTCGCGTCCGCTTTCACACAGCCGTACTTCTCCCCCTACTTCCTAAATCTTTATCGTTATTACATAATTAAAATTATTTATGATCAATATAACAGCAAAAAATAATGAATAATTGTAATAAGTTGACAATGATAATTTCTTTCCAATTTGCTCGAAGTTTCTCCCAATGCTCCCAATTTTATATTTTAAATATTGTAAAAAATCAAATTTTGAATTTCATAATTTTTAACAAATTTATTAAATAAGCTAAAACAATATGAATTAATTTAACATTAGAAATGGAAAATCTACGGATTCACAATTAAAATATACATTAATATTTTTAAATGTTTTTTTTTAAATTCGATTTATAATCGATTGAAAAAAATAGTAATTTTTCTTTAGAATCATGATATTTAGTGTTTATAGGTGTTATAATTTTTTTAAATGTTTAATTGATAAAACACAAATTAATACAATTATAGACGATTCTCAAATGGAATTGTCATATTTTATTTTAAAAGCGCGAAATGAAAATAATAATTAAAATTCGTTCCGAGTAATATAAATTAAATGAGAATCGAAATATTTCTGAAATTTCTTCGACTGCAACAGAAGATAATTAACGAGAGAATGAAACATAAAAGGAAGAACAGAGATTAAAAGAAATGCAATAATGAAAAGCAATATGGTCAATATAGCTCTTCATAATGAAATAATTTCCTGATAATTATTTCAAACAATTATTTCTGACAATTTTTGAAGTGACTTGTTATCATTAAAATCCTTATTTAAAAATCTCCTCATTTAAATTAATTCTCTACACGAAGCTTATTTGAAATGAACATTTCCAATTGCGATTTCTCATTTCGAGCCACGCTGAGTTGTTAATGATGACAGCGCAAGGCGAAGCGGAGCGGAGCGAGCGGGTACCAAGGGGACCAAGGAAGGAAGAAGGAAGGCTCTCGGAAGGAGGTGATATCAAAGAGAGAAGGCGCGACGCGATCGCGAGCCGAGGAAACGAGACCGACGGACCAAGAGAGGATTGGAGGGGCCAGCTCCCTTGCGACACCTGGGGTCCGCCAAGGGGCCCAGGAGGGAGCGGGAGTGCAGGTGCGGTCGGGATGAAGCACGGCCATGCAATGCTGTGCGGTCCGTCGTGGCGTGGAGAACAGGAGCCGCCTTTGCGCTTCCTGCCTCCCTCGCGGAGTCCTTCCTCGAGAGTCCGACCTCGCGCGTTCCGGAAGGAGAGCGAAACGTACGACTCCTTCATTCGACATACATATTATATTATATTATTAACGTGAATTTTTCTGCCGAAACTAGGCACGTCCAGTGTCGGGTGTCTTTTTCCTGCGGGACAAGTGAGATATATAGCTCGATAGTGCATTCAGGTGCATTCCTTGGACGAAACGTCCCCCGATCCCCAATCTCCTTTCCCCCTTCCCCCTCTCTCTCTCTCTCTCTCTCTCTCTCTCTCTTTTTTTCTTTTTCATCACGTGGACGGAATGGTAAGTGGGATCTTTTCGACAGGTAAAAATTTCCTGCACGACGCTGGACGTCTCTCCTGGACGAAAGTCCAAGCGGAGAATGTGTAACCGGATATCGAGCGACGTGTGTATTTTGATAATTGTTCGCGATAGCCGGCACCATCAGCGTGACGAGATCTCTCTCAGTTCGACAGATGATTATTGAATGCAAAATATAAAATTCCGTCAGTTGAAGACATTAAGCTTCGCTTGAGGAATCGCGGAAAGGCCGCGAGTCGGTCAGCCGCTTGTTCGCGTTCGCCTTGTCTTCCGTTTACTTAGGATTATCAAACGGAGCCGCAATTTCAACGCAATCGCTTTCTCTCAATGCCAGCCGCTGATGACTAAGTAAGCGTGCCACGGCCATCTCACGCTGCGTGATCGAGCACGTTCGCAAATACATACGTTCTATTCGATATCCGAAGGAGCATCGGCTCTCTTCCCTGCTCGACATCACCTGTCGCGTGGGTGAGCCAGTTTTAACATGTTTCAAGTCAGCAATATGACTCGACGACCCACTTCGAAACAACACCGATGCTAACGTTACCTAACTATCTTCTCTGTCGTTAACTCTTAGTATCCAAATTTTCTTATCCAACAATTTCATAAAGTTGCTGGAACTACCTGCAGCCCTCGTGCTCATTTTATATCTTATTTATGTTAAATATGCAATGTGAATTTTGATCCTGCGTTAAAATATTAATTCAATATGAGTGATATGAGTTGAGCAGGAAAGTTACAATTATAATGATTTAATTTGTTTTTATTTTGTCTCTCGAAAAATATAGATTTTTATTCCTTTTTCCTTTTTATGGTTGATTCATTTTCCTTTTTATGATTGTTAAATAAATTAATTTAACGGTAAAAGTTAAGATGCTAAAATTAATTATATATAAATCTCTTCAACAAAATTATTTTTTTTATGCTACTGTGTGAAATATATATATTTTATCCATAATAATGTAGTATTAAGAAAAAAAATAATTTAATCATATAAAATGTAAACTTAATTTAGGGAAAACTATATTACGTACAGTGAAAAAAATAGCTGAATCGCTGAATCTAACAATGGCCAGACATAAACTTGAACAAAATAATTTTGTTGAGTCATCAAGATAAAAAACGTTATAAAAAATGTTCAAAATGGCTGCTAGAAACAAAAAGTTTTTGCAATACTGTCGTTATGCTTAAGAGCACTAAGAGACCTATATAATTATTTTACTACCCAACAAAATTATCTTTATATTTATATTTGCCAAAATTTTTAGATATTTTAGCAAAATCCTTTTTTCCATGTAATTATCAATCAGTCATGTTCAAATAATTAACTTGACGTACATTTCCATATGAATTTGTAGATCGGGAGGACAATAATGTATGAAGCTTTCCTTGGCTAGTGTTCGATCGGATGCGTGTAAATGTAAGCTCGAAATCTATTCGGAAGTACGACCCTCGAGATTGTTCGATCGTTATTTCCACGAGGTCACGATGAGGACTATTCTTTACCCGACGTTTTTTTTGATATCGGTGTCGATCGCCGGATCCGTCAACGACTGCAACAATCCCAATTTTCATTCTTTGGAGACGTTAGAGTCCTCCAAGCTGGAATGCGGCCCGGCTTTTAAGAATCGTTGTCACTGCCTCAGGACGTGCTACGACGGTCATCATCAGTACGTCGTGAATTGCACGGGTACCGGATTCCACGACACGTCCCCGTTGGCGCATTTGCCGAACGAGACGCAAGTGAGTAGTATAATCGCGAAGGCCGCGCGCCGCTTTTTGCGCGATAACGCAATAACGATTTCGATACGCTTAGGTGCTCATTTTCACGGGGAACGAGCTGGAAGAGCTGCCCTGGAACGTGTTCGGCACCCTCGACAATCTGCCGTACTTGAAGGTGATCGACATGTCGAACAACAAGATACGCGAGATACGCGGTAAAGCCTATCATCACGTGCAGCACGTGGAGCGTCTCGTACTCGACTTCAACGAGCTGTCATTGGATCCCGCGAGAAGCCATCCGAGAGTATTCTCCAATTTTATCTCCCTCTTAGAGCTACATCTGACCGACGCCTTCGAGGACGGTCCGCCGAGGAATCTGGCGTCGACGCTCCACGACATCTTCGTGAACAGGTATTTTGCGTTTCCTCTACGAACCTTTTTACCTTTTTCTGTTTTCTCTTTTCCGTTGATAATGACTCGATCGCTCACTTTCTTCCTCTTCCAGCAATCTTACGCAGCTGATAAAGCTCCATCTCGAGCAGAACGAGATCTCGGAGTTTCGGGACGTCAACGTATTCTGCGATCTGCCGAATCTCCTTGATCTTCATCTCGGTGACAACGATTTGACCGCGCTGCACTTCAATCTGTCGTGCTTGCACCACCTGCGTTTCCTAGATTTACGACGGAACAAATTCACGAAGATCCTCGAGCGCGATCTCCACACCATGGACAATCTTGCTAAGCACGATCGGTCCGTAACCGTGGACTTTTCCGGCAATCCCTTCGAGTGCTCTTGCAAGCTCAATCCGTTCGTCAAGTGGATGAAGAAGACGAAAGTGTTCATCCGAAATAAAGCCAATTTACAGTGTTACGAGGGTAATTTTTTGTAATAATAATCAGACGAACGCGTTTCTCTTTCGCGGGAATTAAAATGTGCCTTTTTTTTTTCTTTCTGTTAGGAAACATGAGTCACGACTTCCACGAAACGAAGAGTTGCGCTTCGAAACTATTAACTTCTACCCGGCGGGGAACAACGGTGATGCTTTGCTTCCTCTCGATGGTGCTAATTGCCCTGGTGTGCGCTTTGGTCTATCTACAAAGAACGAAACTTCAGAAAAAGATTGAACCCGTACTCGATTCAGTTAGCAAGAGAGTGCGATATACCTCGATAGCGAATGGTGATACTCGTGAGGATGTGTGAACGAAGAAAGTGGAAATTATTCGAACAAAATTTTGATACATAATTTTGTTCTCATTTTTGCGAAGTTGATTCTGCGTCTCAAAATTAAAAAACGATACAGGTACAAAACGAGAGAGATTGCACGTGTAAAATATTTTCGGTCGAAGTGATAACGTTGTTTATGGCAAATTATAGTTTATGTCTAGTGTAGGCTTGATAATTCGCATGTTTGCAATGGCGCGCCACAGCGCGTGAAATCGATTTTTGAATTTGTATGTTTAATGCATTTCCAGACATTAGAGTTAAAGATCGACAAGTGATAATTGTCTAAAATACTATCCAATATTCAAATTAATTTCACGATGTGTAATTCGTTTATAAATAAATGTTATTTATTTATAATGATGTGTGAAATTTATTTTTCTGAGACAGATATTTCTGTTGCACTCGCATAGACAAATTATCGTTGAAGATAGCAGATTAATCGAGTGCAGATCGAATTCCGCAGATCTGCGTAAATACTGAGGTTTGGCAGGTGAACAGACGAACGAACGATTTTCCTTCTTATCAATGGCTATCGGAACATCGACATCTTAGCTAAGATTAGATACCGCATACAGTACATTTTAAGCCGCCTTGATGATCGCCGTTTGTCCAAAGTGAGGAGGTGTCGTGAAATCACTTTAGTGAATTCTTATCGTTTCAAGTATCATTCTTTCTTCGCATAAATTTCCTCGCGTCAAGCTTTGACGAGCTTGAACCGAGAAAAATGTCGCTCGGGCGACTTCGTCTCGACGAGATCGTCAGTTCGTTCCCGGAGCTCGGACCGACTGTTCCAGATGGTGGTTACTCGTGGTTCATCCTCTTGGGTGTCGCTTTTATTCAGGTTCGATTATCATGTCCGCACAGTGACAGCGAAAGCACTCGCACTTCCGATTAAAAATTAAATCTCATAATTTTTACATTTGACACTGACCCGCGTTGCCCGATTCTTTAAAATTAAAAATTATAAAATATTTGTAATTTGTCCATTAAAATCAACTTTCAATTGAAAATAAATAATTGGTAAACAAAAAGATAATAATATTCGACGCAATAATACAGGGTATTCAGAAATGTATGCTCAATCATATCGATACGTGCATTTTTATCTGAAAGGGAAGTTATCGTATATCGTATACAGGTTTTTTTTTTTTCACGTGCAAATAATGACAAGTGCTCTCCGTGCACATTGTGAAACATAATTCTGTTCCAGGTGTTACGTTGTTTACGAAGTAAGTTTGCCGAATACGAGGAATGCACCAGTTGAACAATGATTTCTTGATAAACGATTTTCTATATATAAATCCATATATTGGGTTGCTAGAGTCTGTATTTGTTTCGATAGGTAAGTACAGAATTTCTGATATTGTTGTGCCTATATTTCTCGACGCCCTGTATGAACGCGTTTGCTATAAATCCCGAAATCGGAGAAAATAGATAAATTTACGTATTTGCAAGGTATAAATGTAGATGTTACGTATATTAAAATGTACAGATCACCGTGCCTAGCGTTCTGTCGATGTACGGCATAGTGCGAGGATATTTAGCTGCAAACAGCTCGCTTTACTTCGATCTGTGGAATGAAGTCTCTCTGGCGCCTCTATTATTCATCGCTTTCTGGAGTTTGGCAGGTATTTCATTATTATCTATTCATATTTGTTCATTTGTTACAACGATATAAAATTGTCAAAAAAAAAATAAAAGAAAGGAATATCCGGTAGACAGTTACATTTTTCTCCTTTAATAAATTAATAATTAAGTATAATACTTGATTATCCTTCTTTTCTCCACGAAAAATTCTTATCGCCAGAAATATATAAATAAACTTTAATCAAGATAAAAAACAGGCTTTTCCAGAAAATGAGTTTAAATGCTCTGAATCATTAAAATTTTATAATATTCTCTTGAAATACGATTTTAACATAATGATTGATTAAGTAAAGGAACAAAAATATTGTTATATCTTCATTCGTACAGTGAATTTTCATCTATCATAAAAATAAATTCTTGGAAGATCCTTTTGGACTTATGGCACTCTCCAGATAAAAATTTTTATCTCAACAGAGAGTTTTAGAAGCTTAATTATATAACGTTCTGTCAGTAGTAAGAATTTGAAAAATTCATTCTTTTTTGCAAACAAAACTCAAAAATGAGAATTTCCAAGTTACACGGTTGTAGAAAAATGAGCGATATCGATTTTTTTTTTTTACCATTTGCACCTGCGATTTTTCAGATCCATGGACCAAGACGATCACGGATTTGGCGTCGATACCTCGCCTGGTCGGCCTCATCGGCGTTGCTCTCCTCACCACGGGAGTTATAGCTTCCGGATACCTAGCGACCGGCGGAGTAGGTGCATATTTAGCTGGCTTGAGTGCTGGTGCGGTGATGGGAATAGGAGCGAGTTTCGTGATCGTCGAGAGCGAGACCGTGCTACGGAAGCACTTCAGGGTGAAGCTGCCGTTGGTTCTTACGCTGAAGAATATCGCCACATCCATCGGCTTCGTTCTCATACCGGCACTCACGCATTTCCTGCTCGTGGAAACCAGTCTAAAGACCGGACTTTTGCTCATGACGATCGCCTTCGTCCCTACCGCCCTGGGCACCCTGATCTTGCGCTTCCCAGCTCCGCAACGAGCATCCCCGTACAGGTGGACGAATTTTCAGACTTCAACTCTCGCATCAATCTCTAATCAAAATAAATTTAGATCCAGATCTTTTCTCGAAGAGAATTGTAACGTAATAAATAATTGTGCAGATTGCTCAAATATGACGATATATATCGGAAACTTTTTTCGTATTCTAAGAATCAATTTGAACGTAAATATTTTGATGGCCCAATAAAATTTTCAGACCTGTATTTAGGGCCAAATTTTTATATACTTCAGCAAAACCGTTCTTTCCATGTAAATATTGCATTTTGTTAACAGATTGCTTCTACCGACCGACGAGGACAATGAATTAGGCATCAGAATATCGGATACAGAATTAGAGGCAGATCGATTGAATAACGGTGTAGATAATCACGGCTACAATGGCGAGAAACAAAACAGAAATTCTGCGCCGTTGTTCAGCGAGGTAAATAATATCTATGCGTACGAGGAACCGGATGAAGACGTCGAACTCTTTGTCAGTCCGACTATGCGATCGAGCGACAGGTGGAAACAGGAGTTTCGTGCGGCACGCTACTTCCGGTTTTGGGCAGCTGCGGTGACATGGATCGGAATGAAAGCCAATTCGCTCTTCTTCTGGATCTTGGTACCTGCCTTATTTCTCAAGGAGGAATCTCTTGCTTATCGGCAAGAGCCGATTTCTTGCACCGACGATTGGGTGACGTTGCTGGTGGCCGCCGGTATCGCTTCTTTCGTACCTAGCATCGCCAGTTACTGGTCCATCGTCACTTCCGCTCAGTACAGAAGAATATACTTCGGTAGCGCCTGCTGGCTCGGCAGTATTGTTCTAGTAGGTGTGTGAGACATAGACTCACCAATTGTTTTAAATAATATGACATTATTCATTGACGCAACATCAAATAGATCTATCTACATAGTAGTATTCTACATTATCTACATTGCTAATATATCAAATTGTTTAAACATGAAACGTTACGTGCTTCGTTATCATAATTTTTTTCGTCGATGTATTATTCATAGGTTTAACTTATACGAGAGATTACTATTGGTTTCTGATGTGGTCGCTACTCGGTGGAATTAGCATCAGCAGTCTACTCAGCTGCCAAGAGTTGACACTTTGCGACGTGTTGGGAAATCAGTTCGCACAACGCTCGCATAAATTATTCTCCATCATCGTCGGATTGGGCATGCTGGCCTTCTGTCTCGTGCACAGTACGTATTTTGTAATATTGATTTTTATTTTTTCCGTCATTTTTTTTTTACAAGTTTACAGAGGTTTATAAATTTCGTCTTTCTGAGACGCGATACGCCTGATGTGACAAGACAAGACTACGGACTTTAATCGAGACTTATGCTAATTTGATGATTGCAGACGAGAACATGTGTCTTCGCGTGGTCGCATCGCTGCAATTTTTCGGCGGATGCTATTGGCTTCTGCCGCCTATGTGGGAAATCATACGAGCGCGGAGACTGAGAGAGGGTTAATAAAGATTATTACAAAAATCACTGCATAAATATTTACAAGGCGTTGACATTGCTGAAAATTATTGGTGATTAATTTCTAAACGCTTTTAAATAATAAGAAATACCTTTACCAGATAATTTTAAGAATAGATATGTCCGTTTCATGTAATGCCAACTATGTAACAGAAAGTACGTAATTATTTAATTCTTCATATATATTCGTAACTTACATAATTGACTTTGGATTGTCAAAAATGTAAGGCAACCAAGCGCTGGACATCACGTTCCTTATAATTTAATTGAGAAATAGTAAAACGAAGATGTTTTTACATTGTACAATTGTCTACATCACAATAAAATTGTCTTGAGACTTTTATTAAAATATCTTCTTTAATCGTGAAATATTAACAATGCACATGATGGTATTATCACACTGATTACTAACTTACTATATTGACGAATATAGTTTACGTTATCATTTGTGTTTATCCTGCAAATTTTTTTATTCGGTTAGAATATGCACGATCATATTTCTCAACTGTAAGTATCAATTATATATTACCGGGCGATATATACTAATATGTTCTTTTTATTTAGATATAGCAGATAAAATTATATCACAAGATAATTGCAAGGTAAACGGAACACACATCCCGTGACATCTTGCACGCTACTTTCCTTTATAAAAAGGAAATATAAAAGAGAATATTTAAAATTTACATTTACAATTTGCGCCTCTTCTGATTACATCTAACTAATAATCAATTATCGCATTATGGCTAAGTAAAATGATAAAAATTGAGGCTTTTCTTATGTACGTAGATATTGTAGGAATACATTACGTTCATAATAATCGCTTAATTTATTGTGTACAATGTTTTGCAATAAATTATTTAATTTATTGCATTCGTTCATCTGCCAGATTCCATAATGCTACCTTATTTTAAATATTTTAAATATGATACGAAATATTTTAAATACTTAATTATATCAGAATCAACAATTGTTAGAATCCTTTTAAATGCTTTTATAACGATTGCAACATCGATAACATATGACGAATAAAAAACTGTTGAGGCATAAAGGATTCTTTGCGATACAAAATCTTCATATATTTATATACTTCATATATTCATATATTTATATACTTTATTCACGATTTGACTTCTTATTACTTGTCTGTCATCCAGTTTCTTCTACTATTTATGCCCGTTTTGGCAACATATATATGCACGTATATATTAAATGGATATATAATAATTTAATTAAAACTATGCTTATAAAAACAGAATACATTTATATGTACAAATATGTTTCATCTTTTCATCGCGGTTGATGATATGTCGCAAGTGAAAAAATGACAGAGATCGATAATATCTCGAATAAAAGCTGAACATGCTTAGTGCTTATCAGAAAAAATTCCGTGAATTTAAATTTTTGTATTTCACATAGAAAATAATGTAATACTGCCATACTTTGTCAGACGAAGGCATGACGAGCATATCAATAGATTTTATATGTATACGTGTATATAAAAAACGTGTATATAAAATCTAACGTATTTTTTAAATGAAAGTTTGATAACTAATTGTAATTATACTATAAAAGCTTGCTTAAGAAATTTACTTAAACAAAATGAAAGTAATACCACAGACTTGCTCCTTATAGAAAAGGGACAGAGTCTTCTGATCGAACGTAAAGTTCATTCTATTCCAAATCTGGGCAGTTAAAACAGGAACATTGACGCAATTTCTAGGTTTCACCTAGTTCCGGATCCTTGTCTATCGGTTTACTAGGTCCCGGATTGTCGCGCAGTTTAGGTAAGAAGCCATTTCGATTCGAATTTGGCTTTATGTTCCAGCTTACTGGCCGCGGCTGATTCAACTCATCATATTCCGACTCATTGTTCTGCTTAATCTCATCGTAGACGTGCTCGACTTTCTTACCATCCATCTCATCGATGCTGTGATACACATTCAAGTTTGGATTTCCCATATCAGCATCCCTATTCTTCAAGTCGTATTGCAGTCCGTATGCTCCTAAAATAACACATAAATTGATGTATTGCGTAGAATTGTTTTTTACCTCGTCATTAAAAAACATATAATACCTTTGCAATCGTCCTCGTCATCAGTACAGTTACCAAGGCCAAATTTAGCCTTCTCGGTATTTATATTTTTATGAAAATTATTTCGGAATTGGAAATTGTTTAATAAGGTGGTAGTGCCGTCGTCGAACTTCGAGGAACCTTGATACGCATACGTAGGGTTGTCGAATTGAGTTAGTTCTACGGCGAAAATAATATTTTAAACTTCTCTGCTTAAAGCGTAGATTCTTTAATTACAATCTTTAATTGATAACAATTATTAACACGGCAATCAGGAATAGGAAGCGCTTAATTTACCTGGTGGAGATACGGGCTCAGCCGTGTATTGTACTTGAGCTATCTCGCTCTTGAGATCGGCTACTCTGCGACGATGATACATCCACGCAGCCAGTGAAATGCCAAATAAAATAAGGGTCGCGAAGATCACCCCCACGATGTGTCCGTATCCCGTGTCTTCAATCTCCTGAATATTACGCGAGAACAATTGTTCGTCGCAGTTCTCGCCTGAAAGTCGTTTCTTAGTTATTCCAAGTCATTACTATACAATGATATCACAATGAAGATATCATAAATCTTCGTAGTACGTGCAGAACTACTTTTTTATGAGTATATTTCACGTACCTGTATATCCGTGCCTGCAAATACAACCGTCCGCTGGATGGCACATGAAATAGTCGTTTTTACATTCACATGGCTCCATACAATGATCGCCGTAATATCCTTCCGGGCAAACTGTAATCGTGAAATATTGATTTTTGGTAAATATAATTTATTTGATATACCTTTTTTGCAATCTACAACTCTTTAAACCTACTTTCTGTACATCTCGTCCCGGTCCATCCGGCCGCACATCGACAATGTCCGTCATTAGATCTGCATTTTCCACCGTTCTGACATTTGCAATGCTGCGTGCAATTTACACCATATGTGCCTTCTGCACATGGCGTTTGACAGTACTCGCCTTGCCAGCCAGGTCGGCACTGGCACACACCTGATTAAAAAGTATATTTCGTTGATAAAAGAGAGTCTCAAGTAGAACTCATATTCACTTACTAACTGACTTGGGATCAACTTTAATCTCGGTTTAATTTACTTTTTAGCTTTTTCTAAGAATTAGAAAAAGAGATAAAGAGTAAATTAAACCGTGATTAAAATTAATAGACATTAATTTAGCGGTAGAAATAAACGGATGATTGTTTTCGAAAGATTTAAGAGATTCGAGATTCTTGAATTTACCTGTTACGTGATGACACTCTCCACCGTTTTTGCAGTGGCAGTGATTTGCACAGTTCAGTCCGTAGCGATTGGGTGGACACGGATGTTCGCAGGTGAGGCCCAAATAACCCGGACGACAGATGTACTCGCCGGTGACGTGATCACAAGTCATGTTTCCTAAGAGAAGAAACGACAATGTTAAGGGATTTGTGATAAAAAGAAAATGTAAGGAAACCCCCTACTTTATTGCCTATATTAATATTTCAATTTTGGAACCTCCCTTTCATCGTCCATCGGTTGCGTTAATCGCTGAATATAGAACAGATAAACCGATGACTAATAAAAGTACTCGATGATAAAAACAGTCAGTGACAAAGAACAAAATTAAGTGTCACGTCTACCATTTGCGTCAGCAATTACGCAAGCAGCGGTCAAACTGTGCTCCTTAGCTTCGAACTTTGTTAGTTGCACCGCGAAATACGTAGGAAAGAACCCACATCCAAGCGTGTTATCTACATCTCCGGATGTTACAATGCATCATAAGCGGGAAAATTTGATTTTATCTAATTTTTTTCCTTTATTTTTCATTCTACTCGATGATAGTCGATTTTAATGTATACGCAACAAACAGTTAAACTTACATAAAGATGTTCCGTGAGAGAGTGATCGGCCGAGCGTTACGAATTATGCATTATGAAATTAGGTCATTATTAAAATATATGGTAAATTATAAGTAACTATAAGAGTTATTTTTACATTTAGGACATTTTATTTTTAAACGTAACACAATCTTCCGCGTAAGGTGCGATGATACTTTTGATGTTGAACGCAACTAATGAAACACAACTAATCAAGAACAATCATGCAAATTTAGCGGTGTTACGGGTCACTCGAATGATGTCATGCGAGTTAGGTCTTGGACATTAGGTCCTCATTTACCGTTCATCTTCTCCGGGCATTTTTCTCTGCATCCAAGCCCGTACCATCCTTCCTTGCAAGGTTGCGAGCAATTGTCGCCTTCCCAACCCCGAGCGCAGACGCAACGTCCGGTCATGGGATCACATGAACTATTGTTCATGCATTCGCAATGTGAGTGACAATCCTCGCCGTAAAGACCCTCCGGGCACTTTGTTTCGCATTGTATTCCTGTTTTGATATTAAAGCAAAACCCGTCTCGAGAAACAATTCTTTGCTGCCTGCAGTTAGGAGCAGACTCTTTATTCTTTGTATTCTTGAACTTTGCAGTTTTAGGTCGTTTTTAAATCGGCAAAGAATATAATATATGTATATTTACGAATAATTCCGTGGGCTTACATAACAAGGACGTTCTTAACAACGACCAACGAAAGATTTGGACTGCTTCGACGTGCAAAGTCTCAATTGGCAATCGAATGCAGGAATAAATTCAACAAACCTCGCCATTCTGGTTTGCAGTTGCAAATCCCGGTGGCGGAATCACAGTCCAAGGTATTTGCCTCAACACAGTCGCAAATCTGATTGCATCCGTTTCCGAAGTAACCCTTAGGACAACGGTCCTGACAGAGCGTGCCGGTGAAACCAGCTGCACACGTGCACGTGCCTATGTGTGTGTGTGTGTATAGATAAGATAACGCGTGTTCTAGGTGCAAGTGCTAAGAAAAGGTATAAAGATGAAAATTTGTCGCGTTTCTTTGAATATTTTTTTCAACGCTCTCAATATACAATTTTACTAATTAACACGTGGAATACCGAGCTTAATTCATTTATTTCTTCATTTATATACACGGAAAAAACAGTTTGCCGAAATATTTAAAAATGTGGCCAGATATAAAAAAATAATGTCGTTGGATTAAAATATTTAGACAGTTCAAATTGTTTGAATAAAAAATTTTTGTTATATTATCATCTTACATAATAATTTTAATAGTAAAGAAAAATTATCTTCAGATTTATATTTGATAAAATTTTTAGATACCTTAGTAAAATCATTCTTTGCTGTCTATTTGAATTTAAAATAATTAAAAATATAACATTTACATGCTTATATGTGCTTCTTATTTAATTAGAATGTTAAATTGATATTAATTATAATTGAACAATTACAAATATTATTACTCATAATTTTCATCTTATTACTTATAATTTTCATTTTTACATAATGTTGAGTCTAATAACACCGATCACTGGCACGGCACTCAATGTGTTAACAGCTCGTGAAGACTCGAGTTGGAAATAACTGCTATTGTCTTACCATTTTGCGGATTGCACGCCGCATTGTTGAAACACTTGCATTTGCCTTCGCAGTCTTTGCCATAGGACTTGTCGTCACATGGACGATCACACAAAACACCAACCCATCCTGACAAAAAATGTCACAGAAATATGTATAATATATGTCGTACTTACCGATGTCGAATACCTTCTTCATCGGAAATACATTGCGAGACTTAGTTAAACAATCCTATTAAATATAACTATATACGATAAATTCTATATATATTTGATATATAAATTCTAGGCTTTTCTCTACAGCAATAGAAAAAGTACGAATAACAAAGCAATTGTCTAATGTCATGCAAAAACATTATGCAGAATAATTGTGAGGTAATACGAGACTACAAGAGATAATAAAATGTAACGACTAAACGTTCCAACTAAAAAGTATTTCAAATATGATGACAGCTAATATTAATTATTTCTTTTCCAATAAGTTTTTTTATTCTAAATATAAGTACATCTAAACAATCTTTTCTAAACGAGTTTATAATTGAGGGATTAATTCATTTTGTATATTAAAAACATTAAACTTCTAGGATTTGAGATAAAAACGATAAAAAATTCTTATCAATTCTTGAAAAATTAAAAATTTTCTGGACTAGTTTGATTTTTGGAATCAATCTCTTAATTAGAAACCGTAATCATAATCCGAATATAAAATTGAAAAATTACACTCACCAGCTGTACAATTACAACGTCCGTTCTCAGGCGAACAGCTGGCTCCGTTCTTGCAGGCGCACTTTTGCGCGCAGTCTTCCCCGAAGGTATTCTCTGGACAGAGCTCGCCGCAATCCTTTCCGCGATATCCAGCCGCGCAGATGCAAGTGCCATCGATGGGCGAACATTGCGCATTGTTCTTACAGTCGCAGCGATTCTGACAGCCCTTGCCGAACGTGTAAAAGGGACACGGTCTGGCGCAGGTTTCGCCGTCCCATCCGATGTCGCACGAACACTGTCCGGTCCAGGGATGGCACAGCTCCGTATTGTCCTCCTCGCACTCGCAAACCTTGGGGCGAATTAAATTTAATTTATAATCACGATCGCGACATCGTGAAACTTATCAAGAACAATTTCCAAGAAATGGCGACTCACATTTGCACAGTTGCTGCCATACAAACCGTTCTCGCAGGCTCGTTGACTGCACGTTTTACCTATCCAACCTGGACCGCATATACAACTGCCGTTAGTGGGATCGCACCCGGCTCCGTTTTCACAGGTGCAATTATTTGTGCAGTTCAGTCCGAACGTGCCCTCAGGACAGATATTCAGACACTGTTTGTCGAAATGAAAAAAAAAAAAAGATGTTAATTTGGATTTAAAGTCGCTTTGAAAAATCAGTCAAAATGATGATGATTTATATATACCTTGTTGCCGTGGAAACCCGGTTTGCATTGGCATTCGCCCGTAACGTGATCGCAACTAGCTCCGTTATAGCAGTCGCAGATCCGAGAACAATTCTTGCCCCAGAGACCCTCCGGACAGCGATTCGCGCAGACCGAACCCTTGAAAATGTCGCATTATTGCGATATATTATGTCAAATCTACGCTTCATATTTAATTGCGCAAAATTTCGCATACCGTCCAGCCGGATGTGCAGTAACATTCGCCGGTTGTAGGACTGCAGGATCCTCCGTTCTGACAACGACATTCTGATTTGCATTCTTCGCCGTGTTTGCCTTCTGGACACAAATCGTCACATCTGCGCAATACAATGACAATCATTATAGCGACATCAATAATTAACACTAATTTCATTAAACTACACCTTCGACCTTTGATATTTATTTTTTTATTTTTATTTTTATTTTTATTTAAATAAAAATCTGTGACATTAATTAGCATTCTCTTAACATGATCGTGTTCTTAAACTCGATATGATATAAAAATGGGTGAAACTTTATAATCATAATATTTTTAATTGCATAATTAAATTAATATCAATACTTTAAAATAAGAAGAGTATAAAAAATGTAAATATGAACATATACATATATTTGTTTCTAATTATGCAAATTTACACCGATATACAGGCGGAGAAACAAGCAAATTAAATTCGGCATTCAACATGTTAAGAAATATGTGAAAATGTAAACGGACAGACATTTGCGATAATGTAAATAAGATTAATTCGATAAATGCCGACAATATTTTTATAGTAAACTACGCAATTTGGAACTTACAGTGGCCCGGTGTAACCAGAGGCACAGTGGCATTCGCCAGAGATGTGATGGCAGCTTCCACCGTTTCTGCAACGGCATTCTTCGGCGCAATCCTGTCCGTAACGGTTAGCAGAACACTTTTGATCGCAGTACACGCCGGTCCAGCCTCTGGTACACATGCACTTGCCGTCGAACGGATCGCACGTGGCCCCGTTCTGGCACTTGCAATCCATCTCGCAATCTCTGCCCCATTTACCCAACGGGCACCCTGTTCATACAGATTTAAAAATAACTAACCTCGTGTACGACCTACGTGCCGCTTAAACCAACTTTTTATCTCGGTTAACGCGGGAAGTTACTGTGTGTATTTTTTTCAGTTTTTAAAAATAATCCTTGAACATAAATACTCTAGCCGAAACTTAACAAGATTTTTCGAAAGAATTTTTTTCGTAATCAAAATGTAATTTTTAACCCTTCTAATTTCATCTTTTCCAACAAAGATACCATTATCGTCCATTATGTTAATTATGTTCATTAATATTTTTTTTTATCTCATATGTATCTCTCTCGTTGCAGTCTGTTTACGTCACTTTAACGTGCTATTATGCATTTCGGGACGGTTGCATCGCAAATGAAGCGTGTAGGTGCAATAAAAGGGTGCAATAAAAGCTGGAATGTCCCGTCGTTATCGTTGGCCGAACGGTTGGAAAAATGAGGCTGCACTTACTGTAGTCGCATAATGGCCCACCGTATCCGGACTCGCATTTGCAGACATCGGGCGCGATGCAAGTGCCATGGCGGCAATCCTCCGAGCAGACTGGAATGCAACGATCGCCGCTTGTGGTCTCCGTATAGCCTTTACAGCATTCTTCCACGGGCCTTTGTTTCGTCAATTCCTGCAAGAAGCACGTACGTAATCACGGACCGATTCGTGCGTCGTTCGACCGTTTAATCGCCCGTTTCTTCGCAGCTCTCTTTTCTGACCTGAGCTTACTGCGAAGCGACAGCGAGCAAGAACCGCGAATCCAGATCGTACCTGTCTGCAAATTAGAAAGTACCTGGCGAACGCGAATTAGATAACTGACCTGCTCCTTGTAGACTGTTCTGGTGACGACTTTGTATTTGGAACATCTCGGTGGGAAACTGAAGCACCACGTGTTCTCTCGCACGGTATATGGTTTCTGTTCGGATACTTTCACCGTTATCTTGTATCTGAAAAAAATAATCATAAAGTCATTAGCATACCGATAACTTTCAGATAGACGAGTAAACGTTCAGCAGGCAGGTAGTAGAAATAAACTCAGAAAAATGATTTTATACAATGCTTACGTTTCCTGCCGGACGCATACATTCGGTCCCTCGAGGGCTGCCGTTGTTCCCGAGATTATCACGGCGGCGGCCGCGATCAGCCACCAGACTGTAGAGCCCATTCCGGCTGGTCGGTACAACTTTGAACTTGATGATCGAAGCATCGCTATCGTCGTTTCATCGCATCGAGTCGCTCTCGTGGCCTCGCGATCAAGTCCTCCGCCCGTCGTTCGCCCAGCGTCCGAAAGACAGAGGCCGGTCGACCCGTTTTTCCAGATCTGAAAGTAAAATGTGCCGCGTTGAGGTGTTGGCATCGTTGGCGCAACGGTGCGACTTGCGGATTGTGAACGACTGCAAGGTGCCACGAATATGTATATAAACTCGTGTTTACCGGACACGCGATTATTAGCGTCGCGTGGCCATGCGGGAAGGCCCGCGCGCCTTCTCCTACGACGCAGCTTTTAATCGTCTTGCAGGAAACGCGCTGTCGTCGCGCGTTTGATGCTCGATTTCACATTCCGCACACCGTAATGAATCACGGCAAAGCCATTCCGCGGCAGCGTCCAACTTGCTCGATCTTGATTCAACATTAAATAGACTCGAGCCGCGTCGCGCCGTTTATCGGCTATCGGATTCTGCCCGCCGCGTTACTTGAAATAAAGGCTTCACGTTACTCTAATAAGATGCGATAACTTCATCGATCCGCTTGCTCTATCAATCTGATAAGACGTGAAAAAAATAACTGTCGCATAATCGTCTGTGGCCATGTGTGGCCGCGTGTAATCGTGACGCGATATCGCAACGAAGAATTATTTTTCCTCGAGAGTCCCGGCGGGGAGGGGGTGCAATTTTATCGAACGGGGATGCGTGTCGGTATCGAATTGCAAGAGATCTCGTTCGGAATATCGACGAGCGGTTTTGGTCGATGAGCATTTCGACAGTTCCGCGAAGCTACTTCGCTAGGCGAAATTTCATTGCTCGCATGCTCACGGCCGGAAATTGTGCTTCACGATCATCGAGTAAAGTACATGAATCAGAGGCTGCGCACGTGTTGAACATACGGTTTGCTTTACGTTTTTGTCATGACGTGACTCGTGCGCTATGATTCACATCGGCTGAATGGCGATCGGAAGTGCCGTAACATTAGATCGATTAGAGCAATGCTCCAAGACGCGAAAATAATCGCGAATCTCCCATCAATATTAGCGCACAAGACGCCCCACCCTCGTCCGTTTTCATTAAGTCTTTTCTATCATAGTCATATGCCGATACGCATTTAGAATGAAATTAATACTGCTATTTAAATTTTCATATATAGTCAATTGAGAGGGAGAGAATAATGTAGCCCATTCCAAAGGCGAAATTTTATTCGTATTTTTAAAGTTGGTCTATAAAGTTTATCTAGAGGATTGTGATAGAGATTCGTTTTATGTGAATTTCTTTGCGTATGAAATAAGAAGTGCAAATAATTTTTTATTTCAAGCTTCAAAAGAGGAATTTTTCATTATTTTCAATAGAATAACAATTTATTAAAGATAGCTGAAAAGTGGTCTTTTGAATCTCAAAGTAGAAAATTATTCATTTTCTACTTATTTTAGACATAAAGTAAAAACTCAATTCATATAAAATAAACCTCTATCATTCTTTTAGCTGAGCCTTAACCCGTCTCCGTTTTAATTAGCTATTTTGTACAAGAGATTGTTTCACGTGTTAATTAACTTTTAATTATTTGTATTGTTCAGTTTTCTATACAAATAAATGTGCAATCAACATTTATATTTAATATATATCTTTTTATTTAATTTAATATCCAATAAATAATATTTTGTTTGTATTTTCGAAATGACTGGTCATTTATTTATATGGCATGAGGTCCTATTGATCCTATAGCGACTAATAATCGACTGTATAACTGTCGTTTCCTTTAATCGTAACGATCCTAACACATATTTCATGTGTCCAAACAATTCTGAAATGAAAGGACTTATTTGAGACAATGGAATAAAGTCACGCGAATTTTAATTGGTACAACGTGTTATTACATCCCGTTGTAATCGGCGCATATGTACTCACGGATTTTCACTCTAATAATTATCCCCGAGTTGCGAGCGGATTATACATCCGCGTTGACTTTTTTTAGAGCGCATAAAACATCAGGAAAGGTGCGGTTTTTCTCAGAGACATAGTTTTTCTAAGACTACACAATTCGCTCTCTCTCTCTCTCT